AGACTCCGTGCCCTGAGGGACTTCAGTCTGTTGGTGGTGGTTGTCGTCAGCCAGTGCGTCACCCTGCTACTAGGCCTACCTGTCCGTTCCACAGCCCTGCCCTGACACCTGCTCCCAGCAGCATCTGGCTTACAGGCAGCACCGTCCAGCTCCAGAAGGTCGGTCCTGGCTCCTGAGACCAGGCGGCGCCTGGAGATGATGTCATCAGCCGCCGCCACTGCACCGGAGCTCAGAGCTTTCACGCTGACACTCCCTCGTCAGGCTCGCTGGGAGGCAGAGGAAACCCCAGCAGCCGAAGACCAGTCCCGCAGTGTGGTGGTACCCACCCGGACATGCCTCAAAGCCAAAGAAACCCCTGGTCCTCTAATCCCGGGGGGCAGGGTTCCCGGCCGCCCCTGGAGGCTAACTGGCACCCAACATCTCTCTCCCAGTGCTGGGCCACCACTGCTGCAGGCAAGGAACCTGCAGAGCCAGCCGCATGGTCCCAGAGGTGAGTCAGGAGGGTAGCCAGTGGCAGAGGAGGTGCCCCTGCCAGGGATCTGCCAATGACGGGGCTTCCTCCCAGCCCCTCAGGGGAAGCAGGCCGTTGATTCACTGGTGGGACCAGAGGGTCCCTGATGGGGCTCACAGAGTGGAGCTGAACCCGCGCAGTCTCATCAAAGCTGAAGCGCACCGGAGGCACAGACCTCTGAGCACATGGGCGCCCAGGAGGGGATCAGAATGTTGGTTATGTGTTATAGAAGACACTGGTTGTGATAGCAGAATTCAGACTTTACTTGTGGGGCTTAAGTTACAAACATACAGAGCACATTTCTCAGCAGACATATATTACAGACACATTACTTCCTGAAGAGATGATAGTAGAGAGGAAGAAGAACAAACAAGTTTTTCAGATATACACAACTAGTAACCTTTAGTGTATAGTGCCATCTACTGGTCAAGTGATATTAAACACACAATACTATATATATAGTACATTATAGTACATGCTGTTGCATTCCCAACACCCCTTCTCAATGGCATGTGCATAATTATATGACATTTAGTCTCTTTTGTAGAAAACAATGACGTTCCCTTGTTTTTGGATAATCTGGTTCCATTGGTGTTTTCACTTCCTTTGCATCTTGTATGTGAAACTGTTCTAACATTTCTGTAATTTTCTGACTTTGGTTAAGAAGATAGCTTCCATTCTCTTCTCGCTCTATTTGAATTCCTAGATAGTGAGTAATGTTCTCCAACTCTTTAATTTCAAAATTTTGTTTCAGTTTGTGAACTATTTGGTCATAGTCCCCTTCTTGTTCAAAACACGTCAAGATGTCATCGACGTATATTAGGATGTATGTCCATTTGTTCTCTTGATTCTTTGAATACAGACATGTATCTACTTTACTTTTTGAGAACCCTTCTTTTCTGAGTATTTTGTTCACTTTTTCATTCCATGCTCTCGCTGCTTGCTTGAGCCCGTAGATGCTCTTTTGCAGTTTGCATACAAGGTTCTTTTCTTTCTCAAAGCCTGGTGGCTGTTCCATGTACAGATCCTCCTTGATGTCTCCATATAAAAAGGCAGTTTTGACATCTAGATGCTTTACTTGCATTCCCTTTCCGGCAGCAATACTAAGGAGTGTTCTTATAGTAGAATGTTTCACAACTGGAGCAAATGTCTCATCGTAATCTTCTCCAAATTTCTGGGAGTATCCCTTGGCAACTAATCTTGCTTTGTATCTATAGATGTTTCCTTCTGTATCATATTTCACTTTAAAAGTCCATTTGCTTCCGATGGTTTTGCGACCGGGAGGGAGTTCTGTTAGTGACCAAGTTTTATTTTCTTGAAGTAATTTTATTTCTTCTTCAGCTGCTTTTCTCCACTGATCGGCTTCCCTTCTCGGCAAAGTTTCTATGTCTTCCCAGGATGTTGGCTCCTGTGTTTGATGTGTTTTAGCAGCGTATGATAACCTGCGGGGTGGTATCCCTTTTGTCATTCGAGAGGATCTTCTGATTTCTTGTTGTTCAGTGGGTTCTATTGGATCGTTGATTGTAATTTCCACTTCTTGTTCTGGCTCTTGTCCTGCTTCGCATAAATCAGTGTCTCTTGCCGATTCAGTGTGTAAATCCTCTCCACATTTTTCAAGAATTGTATTATCTGGTGCTTCACTTTCATCAAAATAAACACTGCGGCTTACTGTGACCTTGTTGGTCTTTGGACAAAGGATTCTATATCCCTTACTCTGCTCACTGTAGCCAACCAGAATGCCTTCTATGGCTTTATTCTCCAACTTGGAGCGTTTCTGACTTGGAATGTCGGCATATGCTTTATAGCCAAATACTCTGATGTGTCCTACGTTAGGTTTTGATCCATTCCACATTTCATATGGTGTACTCTCAATAGATTTTGATGGGAGCCTGTTTTGTAGGTATGTTGCAGTCATTATTGCTTCTCCCCAGTATTTGTTAGGTAAGGCAGCGTCCGTAATCATACATCTTGTCATTTCTACAAGAGTGCGATTCTTTCTTTCCGCTACACCGTTTTGCTCAGGAGTGTATGGTACAGTTGTTTGGTGTATAATACCTTGTTTCTTTAAGTATGATTCCATCTCTTTATTCATATATTCCCCACCATTGTCAGTGCGTATTATTCCAGGTTTCCTTTGAAAACTTGTTGCTTGTCATAGCTACAAACTCTTGAAGTTTTTCTAATGTCTCACTTTTGTGCTTCATTAGATACGTTATTGTGTACCTGGAATAATCATCGATGAAAGTCAGTAAATATCTGTTCCCGCCAGGTGTGATGGTTTTCATTGGTCCGCACACATCACTGTGTATCAGTTCCATGGGTTTAATGGTTTTACTCTGACTGGTCTGTGGAAGAGGGGTTCGGGTGGCCTTTGCTTTGATGCAACAATTGCACTTGCTGAGTGTGTGGCAAGGCAATATTTTCATGTCTTCTGATAGACTACTCTTTGCAAAGTCCTTTATAGCTTCTGGGTTTCGATGCCCCAATCTTCTATGCCACAGGTGGATGCACTTGTCATGTGGGTTATGAGTTGCCGCATTAGCCTTCTCACTTTCAGTGACGAGTTTGTACAGATGTTCATTTAATCTTCCTCTTGCTAGAAATTGCTTTCCATTTTGAATTGTGCATTCATTACCTCTGAACTGGACAGTGAGTCCATTGCTTGCAAGGGTTTTAACTGATAGGAGGCTTCCTTCTAGGCTTGGAACATATAGAACATTCTTTACAAGGATGCTCTGCTTGCCCCCTGATGGTGTTTTGCAGTTCAGAAATCCTTGACCTTTACCTTCCGCTGTAATACTTTTCCCATATGCTAGGAAGACTTTATCTTTTACACTAAAATCAATTTCTGTGAAGAATGTCTCGTCGCTTGTCATGTGACTTGTTGCCCCTGAATCAATGTACCATCCATGTGAGGTACTATTCTGAGTCACTTTAAAAGTACCACTCCATGATGCACTTTCATTTTCTTTCATGACTGCTTTAGCTCTTTCTCTTGTGGGTAGCTCCCGCTTTCGCTGCTCAGCTTTCCAGATTGAACAGTTCTTTTTCAGGTGACCGGCCTTTTTGCAGCGAAAACATACCCTGGTTTCTTTGCTTTGTCTTATGCCTTCATGCACCTTCAGAGATGCCTCTGGTCTCTCGTTCTCTTCACTATGCAAATTTTCCTTTCTTCTGCTGTATTCATCAATTAATTTTCCCTTAACATATTCTAGCGTCAGTTCAGTTTCCGGTCTAGTTTCTAGGTCATTTATAAGGGCACTGTATGATTCTGGAAGGCAGCTCAGAAGTATTGAAAGAACATGGTTGCTTTTTAATTCTTCACCTATTGCACCCAGCTGGTCCACAATTTCTAGCATGGCATTTACATGTTCACCCATTTCCTGCCCTTTTTCCAGCCTCTTCTTATACAGTTTGCGCAGCAGATATAGTTTGCTGTTTAGGTTTGCATGTTCATGCAGTCTTTGTAATGCAGTCCACATACCTTTAGCTGTGCTTTCTTTCCTTATATGAAGGAGTTGATCATCCTCCACTAACAGGCTTATGACTGCTTTTGCTTGCCTGTTTTTCCTGTCCCATTCTTCCGGGTTGTCATTGGGTCTGTGTGTATCTAGTACCTGCCACAAGTCATCTTTGGATAACAGCATTTCAAGCTTAAACTTCCATAGCTGGTAGTTGGTGTTGTTTGAGCTTTGCTATTGTAAACTTCATATCTGAAGCACTTGCCATCTTTCAGTGAATTGGTAGGATTGTAAATGCAGCACTTACTTGCTTGTAGTTTTCCTTTTTCCAGTGTCTGGAGCTGGGCCCATAACCTGTTGGTTATGTGTTATAGAAGACACTGGTAGTGATAGCAGAATTCAGACTTTACTTGTGTGGCTTAAGTTACAAATATACAGAGCACATTTCTCAGCAGACATATATTACAGACACATTACTTCCTGAAGAGATGATAGTAGAGAGGAAGAACAAACAAGTTTTTCAGATATACACAACTAGTAACCTTTAGTGTATAGTGCCATCTACTGGTCAAGTGATATTAACACACAATACTATATATAGTACATTATAGTACATGCTGTTGCATTCCCAACACAGAAGACATGGGCCTGGGTTCTTGCAGCAGATCTGAAGTCTCTCACGAAGCCACCCAGAGCCTTTCGCCTCCACTGCAGCCCTCAGCTGGGAAATCATGTAGTTTAAATCACCCATGGCCTATTTTGTTGCAGGTACAGGACTACTGGGTGAAGAAACCTCACCAGTACTACCAAAAGCTCTGACTGACCCCTGACAAGTCCAGCCTCCTCTCCTCATCCTGGAGAACCTCCCTCTTCACTCAAACCTCCAATCAGGTAAGCCACCACCCCTTACTAATGAATATAAACCCACCCTATTAGAAACTCCTCCTTATGTGCAAGCCCCAGTTCCCTTAGCTTTGCTCAGCTCCAGGCCTTGTACTTTAACTGCTCTAGGTCACTGAGGAACTTACCTCCAGAAAGGGGCGGCAAATAACAGAAGTGAAGTCTGGCCACTGGTCCACCAGAACCTGCAGTCTGAATGGGTTTTTGTCAATCACGTAATGCAGTGCTCCATAAACCTGAAGGATGGACACTGTGAGGATTTCATGACACACACAGTTTTTATAACACAAATCCCACATATTTCTACTCACCTTTAATGACTCCGGGAAGCTGTGGCTCAGTATTTTTCTCAGAGTAGCCAGTTTGGAGGAACAGGTCAGGAAAATCATTATTATGAGTGAAGAGCTAAAGGAAAGTTATAATATAGATTACACTGACCAGCCACTTTGTTGGGTACACCTGTCCAATTTCTTGCTAACACAAATTGCTAATCAGCCAATCACATTGCAACAACTCAATGCATTTCGGCATCTAGACAGGGGGGTAAAGATGACTTGCTGAAGTTCAAACCGAGCATCAGAATTGGGAAGAAAGGGGATTTAAGTGACTTTGAATGTGGCATGGTTATTGGTGCCAGATGGGCTGGTCTGAGTATTTCAAAAACTGCTGATCTACTTCTCTAGGGTTTACAGAGAATAGTCCAAAAAAGAGAAAATATCCAGTGAGCGCCAGTTGTGTGGACAAAAATACCTTGTGGATGTCAGAGGTCAGAGAAGAATGGGCAGACTGGTTCGAGATAATAGAAAGGCAACAGTAACTCAAATAACCACTTGTTACAACCAAGTTATGCAGAATACTATCTCTGAGTGCACAACACGTCGACACGTTGAGGCTACAATTCGCACAGGCTCACCAAAATTGGACAATAGAAGATTAGAAAAACTTTGTCTGGTCTGTTGAGTCTTGATTTCAGCGGAGACATTCAGATGGTAGGGTCAGAATTTGGCGTAAACAACATAAAAGCATGAATCCATCCTGCCTTGTATCAATGGTTCATGCTGGTGGTGTAATGGTGTGGGGGATAATAAAGAGAAAATGGAGAAGAAGAGTGGGGGTGGGGATTCTTCTCTATTTTCTCTTTATTATATAGTACTTTGGAATGTGGTAACCATATATTATTGGTGGTCATAAACTTGACACATTTAGTATAATGGTGTGGGGGGATATTGTCTTGGTACTAGCAAGGTATACCTAATAAAGTGATCTATGAGTGTATATTTAGAAAGGAGGAAGGGGACCAATTTTTGTGACCTTTTCCTTATGACTGGTCCACTTTTGACTGCTTTTTGGTGTGTAAGGCAAGAGAATTATTACTGGATACACCAAGCTAATAATAAAATGGTAAATCCCTTTTTTCAGTTGTGTGCTGCCTATTCCAGTTGCTTATCAGGTGATTGTCACTTACAGAATATATTTAATCTTCTGATATATACTGATATACAGAGAGCACCAAACAATAAGTTGTCGTTCCCAGGATCATCCCAGGATCAGTGCATTTTCCATAAGCCCTCATGCACACTGGACGTTTTTACAGCGGCTGTTTTTGGCTTTTGAAGTTTTTTTCTACAGCCAGTAAACCCCCCAGCATGTTTTCCTATGTGTCCTTGCACACATAGACTGTAATCAACGTTTTTTGGCTGGAAAAAAAACCCAGGACTAGTGGGATTCTAGAGGAGTTTTTTTAGCTGTAGAATTGCTCTAACGCGGAAAAAACGCAGCCAAACGCCGCAGACCGGCGTTTTTGGACTTTTTTTGATCTAAAAACACATTTTTTTTGTTAAAAAAAACTCTAAAAACCGCAAATGTAAAAAAAGCCACAATCATGGCAAAACGCCGCTAAACACTAATGCAAAAATGTTAAAAAAAAACTGAAAAACTCAAGCTTTTAATGTGACTACATGGCTAACGTTATCAGCGTTATCAAAACGTCCTGTATTCATGTGGACTTAGCCGCGGTTCACATATAATATATGCGGCCGTGCGGGCCGTGTTTTGCGCAGGCACGAGAGACCGTTCATTTGAATAGACACCCATGCCCCGTGAAACGCAGAGAAGAAGTCCCTGCACTTCCTCTGAAAACGCAGCCTGCACGGGAACCTCGGTTCCCAGTACGGATGCGTTTTCTAATGCGGGTGGCGTGCCATTAAAACTAATGGCATCCGCCCACGGGTCCGCATTTCTGTGTGCGAGATTTTCATGCAGATCCGCAGCGGCACCACCCGCACAGATTTGAACCTAGGCTCAAGTGATCTTCTTACCTGCAATCACCTAGTTCAATAAAATTCTTCTCACCTGGGCTAGATACCTGCATGTGGCTGACAATCATAGGCTGTGTCTGCAGCAGGAAGTGGCTTGTATTCCTAAGTGTCCTAAATCTCCGTGTGACATTCCTTCCATGGCCTGATCTGCACTCACTTGTCCTCCCCCTCGCCTGGCCTCCTGCCTTCGCCCTGTACACATTGTACTCACTCTCTGTGCATTATTAACTGACTGCAGTTACTGGTTCATCCCTTCTCCCCTATACTGTAGCTGCCAGCTTTAGTTAGAACTGAAAAATAAAACAGAACATTTTATCAAATGGAACAGTTATACAAGTCTGAAAAAATAAGTTCTGGATATGGCACAATATAAAACAACATAAACAGTTGTACCTTATATCATAAAAAACAAGCAAACAAAAAAACTCAGTCCTTGAGCTTCACTCCAGTGTCCTGCAATGGCTTCTCCTATTCCGTCTCGGTCAATGATCAGATTGTACATTGTAAGTTTGTAGGTGGGGCTCAGGCGCTCTTATGGGGACACTGTGGAACTGCACAGTACAGGAGCTGTGGTCATGTGAAATCAACATTCAGGCATAACTCTGGACTCCAGCAGCAACTTGTACAGTTAACTCTTTAGGTGATCAGCGGCCAAACCTCCGAACACTAAGCACTTCGGACACGATGTCTTGTTAGACAACACCACTTCCCTGGGTGTGCAGCATTTCCGACCCTGTACTGCGGAGCATGTGTCAGCTTCCACCACCCCAATCATTCCTGTCACCTCACTCCCAGTGACTGGTTGAACTGCCTGTCAGGGATCTCGTGACCGTGCAGCAGTGCGACCGCGACAGATTCCCTCGAATAGCGGCGGAGCAAGTGCACAGGCGCGGGAGCGTGCGGTAGCGCAGGAAGCTCGCGCATGCGCAGTAAGCGCCCACTTCACGGCCGGCGGGCTATTTAAAGAGTCATTGCCTTCTGGTATAAATACGTTCCTGTGCTCAAATTCCTGATTCTGATACCTGCTCTGCTATATAATCGCCTAAGAAAGAACTCCGCCTGCACTGACCCCGGCTATTCCTGACCATTCTCCTGCCTGCTCCTTTTTGTACCTTTCTGCCCGCTTGTTACCGACCCAGCCTGCCTGACCCTGCTGTATGGTTCTGCCTGCAACCGCACCTGACCTGCGTCCTGCATACCTACTGCTGCCCCCACGTTCCTGCATCCGCACCTGGCTTGTGTCCGGATCTCCTGAGTTCCAGCTACCTGCTGACAGCTACAAAAACTGCACGGCAATCCGGCGACTCCTGGCTCTCCACCCTTGCTCATACCTTCAGGGACTCCGAGCAGGAGTCGAAAGAGGACGCCTTCTCTCCATTTCAGGCTCCCCAATCCGGTATGTAACAGTCACCCAGTATCCTGCTTCCGCTAGCGGTCTTCTCTGCCTCAGCTGGGTTTACCGGGGGCCACGACCTGGTTCCAGCCTGCTCCAAGTCCATCCCCACCATCAGGGGCTCTGGTGAACAAGCAGACTGGGATTTAGACCCCGCGCCCTGGGAAACCCTAGCTGCGGGTCTAAAGAGCTACTCGCCATAGTCGTGACACTGCCACTACTGAATACAGGAAATGCACTTTCCATATTCTTTGCTTGTTTTCATCCTGATGGCCCTTTACATCTCTCTATCTCTTCTGTTACTCCAGGCTGGGCCCCTAGGCATTCAAGCAGGGCCATGGATAAGGGGGTACCACCAGTCCTCCTGTACAGGACCCAGGTCAGCAGGGGGGGGGGGGGGCAGGCAGCTGGGTGAATCGGATGTGGGTAGGGAGAGGTAAAGAGTGATTGGCATGGTGACAGGGGGGGCACTTACTGGAACCAATCCCCTTTATGGTTTCTCTCTGCAGCAACTGGCTTCTTCTCCTTTCCCTCCCGCTGGCTTTCAACTACTGCAGAGAGAGCCATATAGAGGATCGGTTCCAGTAATTGACCTTCTGCTGCACCCATCACCCTCCCTGTACACCAGGGGCGGACTGACCATTTGGAAATTAGGGCACTGCCCGAGGGCCCGGGGTCAGTAGGGGGCTCCATGAGATGCCCCTGGTACCTTTTTCATAGGCTTTTTTGAGTTTGGGCAAGGACCGCCTGTGTGCACCCACCCCTGCCGTGCTGCCAGTTTCCCTCCTCTCCGTCCCAGTGGCAGCTGGGTGAATCGGATGTGGGCAGGGAGAGTGATTGGCACAGTGACGGGGGGGGGGGGCACTTACTGGAACCAATCCCCTGTATGGTTCTTTCTGCAGCAACTTGCTTCTTCTCTTCCCCCTCCCACTGGCTTTCAGTTGCTGCAGAGAGAGCCATATAGAGGATCAGTTCCAGTAATTGCCCTTCTGCTGCACCCATCACCCTCCCTGTGCACCATACATTTCCCCCTGCTGCCCAGGACCCCCTGTGCACCCACCCCTGCAGTGCTGCCAGTTTCCCTCCTCTCCTTCCCAGTGGCAGTTGCAAGCACATAATTGGATCCTTCAGGATGGAGAGTGGGGGAAGGGTCTGGTAAATACAACACATTTATAGGCCCCTTTCTTTCCTGAATGAACTCAATCAGGGGCAGACTGACAACTCATGGGACTCCCGGGCAATAGGAGATCATGGGACCTCTGTGTTCCCACCCACACTCATGCCCACACCCACACAAAGCCCCACTTACATTCACTATATCCGGTCACCCCGGACCCTGCATTCACTATATCCGGTGTCCCCGGACCCTACATTCACTATATCCGGTCTCCCCGGGCCCTGCAGTCACTATATCCGGTCTCCTCGAACCCTACTTCTCTATATCCGGTCTCCCCTGGACCCTGCCTTCTCTATATCCGGTCTCCCCCGGACCCTGCCTTCTCTATATCTGGTCTCCCCGGACCCTGCAGTCACTATATCTGGTCTCCCCGGATCCTGCAGTCACTATATCTGGTCTCCCCGGACCCTGCAGTCACTATATCTGGTCTCCCACAGTACACAGAACATGGAAATGCAATTACTTTAGTAAATATAAACTGCTAAATACCTTTTCTCCTCAGCAGTTAGAACAATCTTGTGATTTCAGCAGAGCACTGATTAAAGCTTGTAGGAGGTGTTTTCTTTCTGCTCTAGGAGGATGTGAAAGCTCTGACCCTCTGTCTGGACAGTGCTGATTGGCCCTGTGCTGATCACATGCACTCAACCAAGAACAAAAAAAACCTCTCTATCACCAAACTAAGCATGTGCTCTTGAATGTGGATTCAGTCTGTATCAGGTGGTCATTTCAACAGGAGGAGGGGCAGAGAAGACAGGATCAAACAGCCTTTTTACACAATGCAGAGGATTAACCCCTTAGGCTCCATATTGAGTATAAACATGCTTTAGAATGCTTTACTGCATATAGAGACTGATTTTACTGTTGTCGGTTTAGTAACACTTTAAGGAAAATAAATCCTCAATTCACAGTAATATGAACATTGATCATGACTAGGCATTGTGTTATATTTTTATACAAATGTAACAGGCTCAGCACATAATGAGTGATTGGTACCAATCACTCACTGTGTTCATTCATTACTGAAGCATAGTTAACTAGAAATAAATTGGTTTTTAGGGGGGGCCCTATCAGGTTGGCTGTATGGGGCCCCGTGGTTTCTAACAGCAGCCCTGGCCACAAAGGTATATGGAACCCATTACCAGTGAAAGGGCCAAGCATAACACCATTTCACTACCAGAGTGTCCTGGCTGGTTGGTTGCTTTAGTTCAAACATGGTAGTCCTTAGCAACTGCTCATTAGACTCTGCACTGTTGAAATGCATTTAAAAAAGTAATTTTAACACATATTTTTACATATATGTGTAAATGCATTCCAAAAATGTAGATTTGTATTTCTAAACACATACAGTATATTTGAAAATGTATTTTTAAAAATATTTTTCATATATTTTGTAATAAAAACACATTTCAACATACAGTATATATTTATTGAAATATATTTTGAAACATATTGAATCAAAATTGTAGCATTTCAAATATATGTCAATATATTTGGGAAGAATATATTTTTGGGCCCTCAAATCCCTCTTGTATTGAACTGTATTGTTACTGTATTGTCTCCCACTATATTGTAAAGCTCTGAGCAAACCGTTGGCGCTATATAAATCCTGTATAATAATAATATATAATATATATATATATATATATTTAGCAGTCCATAAAGCAATGCCTTTTAAGGCAACAGTCCATTTAGGCAGTAAATCCACAGAGGCAGAAAGTAATCCCTTAAAGTCCATATTCCACAAAAGGCAATAAATCAATGCAACAGGTAATTCAAGTAATTCCTGACCAGGCCATTTCTTGCGTTACGGCGCTGCGTTACTTTAACTGACAATTGCACTGTCATGCAACACTGCACTCAAATTAAATTTACGTTCTTTTTTCCCCCACAAACTGAGCTTTCTTTTGGTGCTATTTGATTGCCTGTGCGTTTTTTATTTTTTGCGCTATACAAAAAAAAGACCGACAATTTTGAGCAAAAAAAAAAAAACAATATTTTTGACTTTTTGCTATTAAACATGTCCAGTAAAAAAATTAAAAAAATCAAATTTCATCATAAATTTACACCAAAATATATTCTGCGACATGTTTTTGCTAAAAAAAATCCTAATACGTGTAAATTAATTGGTTTACGTGAACGTTATAGCGTTTACAAATGGCGGTATATATAATGGAATTTTTTTTGTTTGTTTTCTACTAGCAATGGTGGTGATCATTGACTTTTAGCGGGACTGCGGCAGACATTCTGACACTGGGGGGGGGACTAACTTGGTGTCACTGACACCCCAGTAACACCAATACAGTGCTCAGTGCTAAAAAGAAAAGCACTGACGCTGTACTAATGGCACTGGGCAGGAAAGGGTTAATGTGATGGGCTATCAAAGGGTTAACTGTATGCTGGGAGTGTTTTACTAGGGGGCGGGGGGGTGTGTTGTTTACTGTAAGCACGCTGATCAGGATGGCTGTACTATGCACAGCCACCTCGAGCAGTGTGCGCAAGCTAATTGGGAGGAAGATTGTTTGTAAACAAAAAAATCTTCCTCCCCATCGGAGATGCTCTGTAATCAGCGGTGACTGACATCGGCGGCTGTGAATGGTGGCGCGGGTAGGCTGCACTGATGAGGAGGCACTGATAGGTGGCACTGATAGGCGGCACTGATGGGCACTGATAGGCTGCACTGATGAGGAGGCACTGATAGGCGGCACTGATGAGGAGGCACTGATAGGCATTGACAAGCATCACTGGTGGGTATTGACAGGCATCCCCGATGGGCACTGAAAGGCAGCACTCATATATGGCACTGATAGGCGACACTGACGGGCACTGAGAGGCGGCACTGAGAGGCGGAACAAACTGGCACTGATAGGCAGCACTGACTGGCACTGATGGTTGGTACTGAAAGGCAGCTCTGATGGGCACTGATATGTGGCATTGATGTGCACTGGTAGACACTGATATGTGGTTTTGATGTGCACTGATGGGCACTTGTATGTGGCATTGATGAGCACTGACAGATGGCACTGATGGGGCTACACCGATCATCAGGGCCCTGATGATCAGTGTAGATGTCCCCTCTGAGGAATGACGATTACCAGCTCTCCTCACATGCTGTCAGTGTGAGAGGACTGTCCATAACTGGCGTGATTGGACACAGCTGATCACATGACAGAGCCGATGTCATCGGCTCTTTAGTGTGATCGGTGATCCACTGTGTCCCAGGGAGGCGCACATGCACAGTTAGAGTGGGAGGACAAGAGAGCCGCCACCCACCCTTCATTTCCTTATATGGTGGGTGGGATTCGGTTAAAGCAAGTCGCCACCCTTAACAAGTTTTGTAATTCCATCTGATCAGACATTGATGTTGATCATTTAATGGTTCCTTTCTTGGATCATTAGTATGTAGTAATGGGCTGAACACATCGCTGTTCGGTTCACGGTGAAACATTCGAACCTACCAAAAGTTTGACCACAAACTTCAAACAGGGACAATTTACTGAGCGGTATCTTACCGCATCTGAGTATGTGGTAAGATACCGCTCAGCTACTAAAATGCCATATATTATTAATTATATTATTAGTTATATTATTAAGTCATGTGGTATTTTTAGTAGTGGTATGGATTTTGAGGGGAACCTCCAGGACAAAATTTTTTTTAAAAATGGCGTACGGGTCCCCCCCTAAAATCCATACCAGACCCTCATACGAGCATGTGGCCCGGCAGGTCAAGAAAGGGGGGGGACGAGTGAGTGCCCTCTATGAACTATACCAGGCTACATGTCCTCAACATGGGGGGGTGCTTTGGGGCGAGGAGCCCCCCTAAAGCACCTTGTCCCCAATTTGATGGAGACAAGGGCCTATTCCCCACAACCCTGGCCGGTGGTTGTGAGGGTCTGCGGGCAGGGGGGCTTATCAGAACCTGTAAGCTCCCTTTAACCACTTGCCTACCGGGCACTTTTAACAAGGGGGCCCCAAGATCCCGGCCCCTCCCATGTGAATGAGTATGCAGTACCCATTCACAAAAAAAATGTAGTAAAAAATTATAGGAGATAGTCTTTGATAAGTCCTTTATTAAAAACACAAGTAAAAAATGTCCCCTAAAGTAGATCCAACGTCAATCACGATGCTCGCCGCCTCTGGCAACCATTGCACTTGACCTGACCAATCACAATGCACTGTCAGGGCACAGTGCATTGTGAAGCGCGGCATGCGATTAGCCCTTACTGTTCGTGTGCTCAGCGAACACAGGAACGGCCAATGTTCGAGTTAAACTTACATTCGACTCGAACATAAAGCCAATCACTATTGGTGTGCCAGCAGCGACACAATTTTTGTGCCACAATCGAAAGTGCCTGATGCAACGTGATTTTTTTTTCTAGAAAACATGTGGTTTTCGACTCATCTATGGCCAGCTTTAGGGAAGATTTCTAGAGGGTTACAGATTGTGCTTGGACGTTCATACTCCCTTTTGAAGGAGTCATCTGCTTCCATACATGGTAGTAGGAGACATTCCAAGCGTGTCAGACACAGGGTGTCTTCTGTTACACCCTACTCTTTAAAGCAGTGTTTTTTTAACCTTTTTCAGTCAGGGCACACTTTGGAATTTGTGCACAGTCTCAGGGCACACCAGTCTGAGGGCTCCTTCACACCAGGAGGTGCACTTGAGCGCACTTTTTTTTCGCTATTTGTGTAAATCGTGAAAAAAAAAAAAAGGCGCCAGCATGAATTTTTGAAAATCCGTACCATGTGTTTTAATGGGTGTGAATGCCTGCACATTTGCTGGATGCGTGGGGTGCCATTTAGACTACAAAAGGCAGTGCATTTGGTGCACTGAGGGAAAAAGTGTGATTTTGCACGCATTACCGCACCTGGTGTGAACAAGCCATAAAATGTGGTTTGTGAGGCAGTATCTGTAAATCGTCTCCCCCCATAACCACCCTGCTAGTACAAATTCCCCCCCCATTCCCTCTCGTAGCAACAATTCCCTCCCTCCAATCCCCCCGCCCAGCACAAATCCCCGCACCCCAACCTCCCCTCCGAACAAATACATAACCAATTCTCTCTGCAAGCACAAATTCCCCCCTCCCAACCTCCTTCTCCTAGCACAAATCCCCTCTCCTAGCACAAAATATGCTCCTCCTCTCCAAATGTCCCCTCCTAACACAAAAGCTCACATCCCACCACATCCGTCGCATCACTACAGAAGTAGTAACAGCAGCAAAGAAGAAGAGAGAGAGCAGGGAGATAGTGGGAGCTGTGTTCTCCCTCCAACCCCTCCCCCGCCCTCCTCCAGCAGCATGGGAAGGAGACAGGGGGCAGTAACCAAACCTCATACAGTCTAATCTGTCGAGGCTCTGCATATTTGCCAGCTGCATCAGTCGGCAGGACGCAGGCAGGTAGCCCAGACTGCATTCTGTATTGCCGACATGAATATAGCGGCAGAGAGGAGGAGAGGGCTGTGCTCTCTCTCCTCTCTGTATACTGGGGT